AAGGGTTGCCGTCTGCGTGAGCCTGGTCGTGGGGCGTTGCCCAGGTTCCCTGACTGTCTGTGATCTGGCCCTGTCGCTTTTATCACTGCGGCCAGTATTTTAGTTAGTTTTTTTTCTCGTCTCCTGTCTCTCCTGTCTTCTCTCTCTTCAGCCTCCCTTCTCTCTCTCTCTCGCTTTTTTTTTTCACTCTCTCTTTTATGATACACCTTTTCAGCCTCTTTTATTATGTCCCGCAGGTCGTAGTCTTGCAGCCCCTCTAGCCTTTGCAATTTTTTTTTTATATCTGGGGCTGACTGTCTAATAAAGGCCATAATGACAGAGGCCTTCTGCCCTTCCGAGGACGGATCAAAGGGCGTGTACTTGCGGTAAGCCTCTATCAATCGTTTTAGAAAAACGGAGGGGGGTTCAGTGGGTCTTTGTTGAATTTCTCTCATCTTAGCCAAATTGGTGGGCCGCCTTGCGGCTCCCCGGAGACCCGCCACTAGAGCCCGGCGGTAAGCGGACAGCGACCCCCTACCTTCAGCCGTGTTATAGTCCCAGTTGGGTCGGTTGTGCGGAAACCCTTCTTCCGCCTCAGCTATCGTTGCCGGCTGCCCGTTGGTGCCTCGGATGTTTTTTTTTGCTTCCTGTGTGATTTTTTTTCTCTCTTCCGTGGTGAAGAGCGCCTGTAAGAACTGTTGACAGTCATCCCAAGTGGGCTGATGGGAAAACATTAGGGACTCTATCAGGGCGGTTAATCTGGCGGGGTTTTCTGAAAAGGGGGGATGGTTATTTTTCCAGTTATACAGGTCTGAGGAAGAGAAAGGCCAGTACTGGAGGGGTGACAGCTGGTTGGGCCCCGCAGGAGCTCCATATTCTCTTAGCGGGAGCGCCACCGTGGTATCAGGCCCGTCCGGAGTGGCTCCGCGGCGGCTTCGGGTTCCAGCGGAGGGACCCGAGCCAGTCGCCCTCCGGCCTGATTGCGATCTTGGAGCTGGGGAGGGGTAAGGGGGAGGCGAGAAAGGGGGCCATTTGGGAGGAGGCTCAATCTCAGGGTAGACCCCGGGGGGTGCCGAAGGGGTCTTCGACTCCGCTGTTCGAGTTGATTTCGATTTCTTTCGTGTCTCCGCATCTTGTAGCGCCAGGACTCGGGGGCCTAGTTTTTTCGCTTTTACCCATGGCTTAACCCACGGGAGTGGGTTCTGCACTAGATCTTGCCACACTGTAATATGTGGTCGTTGGTCAGGATGGGACCCCGGTCTCTCCTGGAAAACAATAGCCCTCACCGCGAGAATAACAGTTAGATTAAATGTCCCCTCAGGGGGCCAACCCACATTGAGGGTGGGCCACTCAGAGGTGCAAAAAGTCTGCCAACGCCCTTTTTTTATTTTTACCGACAAATCGTGCGCTCTCGCTCTCACTTTAGTCCAGTGGTCTAAGGTCAAAGAGAGGGGGGTCGTCATAGTCTGTCCCATCCCGTCAAATGACGTCCACGTAACGAACAAAAACAGAACAACGAACACCAAAAACACAGCAAAACATAAACAACTTTGCCCGGTTGGTGTCTCTATAAGCCAACCGAAGGCGGTTTCAGACGGGAGGGGTTTTTGTGTCCTCCCTGGGAAAAAGAGTGCCGTTTTTTTTTTTCACCTGAAAGGGGGTGGTCAGGCTTTTCTGACTCCCCTTGTCCCTTGGGGCGTCCCCCAGGGTTGCAGCCTGCAGTTCCCAGCACGTCTGCCACTGCAGCCGCTCGGCCCTCACGGCCCAAAGCGGCGGCTGCCCAGATATGGAAACCAAAACAATGCTTCGCGGCGCCGCACACACTCACACACCCAGTCACTCAGGCTTACCTCCAAGGGGTCTTCGGAGTCTGGGGTGACCGCGCAGATCCCGGACGAGCCCCCAAATGTAGGATCTCAAAATGGGAACCCCAACTCTAGCCTCGGGAAGGCGCGGACCCACAGACACAGAAGACCGAGCTTGATGCAAACGCAAGAGGTAAGAGGTTTATTAAGCGGAGCTCCGGGTCGACACGTATCTCTCGCAGGAGACAGAGGAGTCGACCCCGAACCTTAAGGGGCAAGCTCTTTTATAGGATTCGGAAGCATAAAGCGGGAAAAGGTTGGCGCGGTCTTACATGATTGGCTAATTTAAAACATTTAAACAGTTACATTTTATGGCGCGAATTGCTATGGCGCGAAGCAATTATCAGGTTACACACACGCGTCCCCATCTGGACCCCCTCCACCCCGACCCTCTCAAACTTATCCCTCTGGAGCACTCTCTTGTTCTCAATTTTTCCCGAACAGTTTAGGACGAGTCTTTTATGAATAGAGTCAGTCAGGATCGATAAACGTTTTCCCTTATACCAGGAATCTTTAGGGTGTGGAGGTGCCTGTCTCTAAGGTATTAACTTTTAAATTTTTAATATAATTTATTTCTTTCAGTACCATGGCGTAGATTGCTGTCACTGCATTGCCCTTGGCTGTGTAGTCTCCAAGCCTGCTTCTCTGGTCTTCCCTGAGATTCTGTGAGTTATCAATATCCTATAATAAGCCCCTTTCCGCTTCTATAATGGAGAGGAAGTTCTGTGGTTGCAAATAAGAACCCTGTAAGACGTATCTATCTTATGAATCTGAGTAGAAGGAAGAGCTGCTTTGACTATATAATCCGAAAATGCCATATGCTCACTTTCCAGCCCGCCGTGAAGCTAGGGTGAAGGCCTGTGAGCTAGGCTCAGCAATCAGATGCATCCAGCCCAGACTTTACGACAGAAGCTGGTGAGGGGAACAGGGACAGAGGAGAAGGGTTTTGATAGGCAGTTTCGGGGCAACAGCAGCATCCAGGGTCCCCAGCTGGCGGGGATGGTGCAGGCCCTCTGGCCTTCAGCATTAAGCGACAGCAGCAGCAGCAGCAGCAACAGCAGTGTCCTCACCAGTCTGGGTCGGTGATATGATTTCACTGTTCACCTTCACTACTGCTTGTTTTCCAAGCTTGGTTCTCCAGGCTCCCAAGGGGCCTCACCAATACCCTGTCATTAACTGTATTCTCTGTTTAAATCAGCCAGCATAGGCACCTCTCACTCCTCATCAATTGCCAAAACTCTTCTAATGTGCCTTCTGGAAACTTCTGGAACTCACTATGCCCTCTGGAACTTCAGATTCATCATCAGCAAAATCCATTGTTTCCCAAACCTCTTTTCTATTCTCTTCTCCTTCTTGCTCTGTTTGAAGTCTGGCTCTCCCCTCAGGCACCTGCTTCTGCTCTTCTCCACTCCTCCCCTTGTACCTCTGGGCGGGGAGTGGGATAGATGTCCTTTTTAGTCCCCATCACTGCTCCCAGATCCTCCCTGAAGACTCACAACGGTAATATCGCCTCATCAGACTGTACCACTCTCCACCCAACAACTCTACAACTCATCTCTAGTCTGCTCTCTCTTCTCATCTCTCAGAAGACTCTACGACAAATTCCTTTCTCTACTCAGTCTCCCGTGCCTTCTCCCCCATCCTCACTGTCAGCCAGTGTCTTTGCTTCTTACTTCATTGAGAAAATCAGAGCAATCAGAAAACTGTCACCAACTCCCACTCCTCCACTGACCCACCTACAAGTACCTGTGGCTATTTCTACTCCACCTTCTCTCCAATTACACTGATCAGCCGCCTTTGCTCCTGTCTAAGGCCAATTCTTCCACTGAGGTGTTAGATTTGGTACCTTGTAAGCACAAGGACAATCTCCTCCACCTTCATCAATAGTTATCTCCTCTATTGGATCATTCCATTCATGTGTCAACCATTATGGACTGAATATTTGTGTTCCCCCAAATTCATATGTTGAAGCCCTACTCCACAATGTGATGGCATTTGGAGATGGGCTTTTGGGAGATGATTAGAGTTAGATGAGGTCATAAGATGGGGCCCCTATGATGGGATTAGTGTCCTTATAAGAAGAGATACCAGAGCGCTTGCTCTCTTGCTCTGCACATGCACAAAGAAGAGGTCGTGTGAGCACACAGCAAGATGGTGACTGCCTACAGGCCAAGAGAAGAGGCCTCAGAATGAAACCTACCTTGATGGCACCTTGATCTTGGACTTCTCAGACTCCAGAACTGTGAGAAATAAATGTCTATTGTTTAAGGCCCCCAGTCTGTGGTATTTTGTTATAGCAGCTCGAGCTGACTAGGACACCAACAGTCTGTAACTTCACTCATTAAAAAAATAAATAAATGTATTGAATGTATTGAACCCAGATTTCCCTCCAGCTACTGTCTTATTTCCCTCTTTTAAAGCAAAAGTCTGTCAAAGAATTGTTTCTACTCATTCTCTGTAAGCCCTCTTGGCCCATTCTCCCTTGAACTCTATTGCATCATGCTTTTGTCTTTACCACCTTGCTGAACATTCTCTTGCCAACATCATGAAAAACCTCTACATTGCTAAATCCACAGGTCATTCTAAGTCCTCATAGTACCTGACTTAGCAGCAGTGTTTGGCCCAGTTGCTCATTCCTCTTCCTTAAGACACTATCTGTACTCAGCTTCTGGAACCCCCTCTTGCTTGATTCCCCTCATCTTCCTTTGGCTGTCCCTGTTTGGTTTCCTTTGCCAGTTCCTCCTCATTTCCTGAGTCTAAATTAAAATCAGTCCTTGGGCCTCTTCTCTACTTTGTCTACAATCACTCTCTTGGTTATCTCAACCAGTCTTCTCTTCCCTAAACTATTCCTCCTGGAGTCTTCCTCATATGTGACCCTCTGGCCAGTCAGTTGCATGCAAGCCATGTGGGGGCTCACCAAGGGAGTCTCAGCAGGCAGCTGTGTGCAGGCCATATGGGGCTCTGGTTTCCATGTCAAAACAGCTGCAGAAAAGTGATTGCCAGGCTGAGGCTGCAAGGTCCCCTGGCCTGTGCCAGAAATTGCAGGAAACCTCTCTCTCATCTTCCTGCAATGTCCCTCCAGTGCTCTCTACTGAGAAAGCTTAGCATTGTGCACCCTTTAAAGGAGAAATGCTTAAAGAATCATATATTGAAGGTACAGTCAAAGATAAGAGGCGATGCGTGGATACCAACCAGATGGCTAAAACCCAAGCTCAAATTTTGATTCTGTGATTTGCCTAATTATTGCATCAGTTTAATTCACAGCAAGACTCATCATGTACCAGATAAGCCAAACGTTCTTCATGCCCCACCCTAACCACCCCTCACTGCCTCTAGACATGAACCAGGGTCAGGTCCCCACATGCCCCAGCAGGCAGGTTCCAGGGACAAAACTGGGAGGAGACACAAACACACCTCAAACCTGCAAGATTCTGCTCATGTCCACAATCTGGTGAACATGCATAGAAATGGATTGTCGAGGTACTAGACCAAGGACAGAAAGTTGAAATAAGATTTGGCTGACTGACGGGGGTACATTTTCTAAAGATTTTGGTTTAGTCTACAAGTGTGAAAAGCTGGGAGTGTGTATTAGTGAGGGTTCTCCAGAGAAACAGAACCAATAGGAGATATACAGCTACATATGTAAGAGGAGATTTATTGTAGGTATTGGCTCAGCGGTTATGGAGGCTGAGAAGTCCCACAATCTGCTATCTGCAAGCTGGAGAACCAGGAAAGCCAGTGGTATTATTCACTTAGAATTGAGAGTCTGAAGGTCTGAAAATTGGGGGTGGGGGACAATGGTATAAGTCTTGATCTAAGTCTGAAAGCCAGAGAACCAGGAGCGCTGATGTCCAAAGGCAGGAGAGGAGGTCCCAGCTCCAGCAGAGAGAGTGGATTTGTCCTTCCTCTACCTTTTTGTTCTATTCAGGCCCTGAACTGAGTGGATGGTGCCCACCCACATTGGTGAGGGAGATCCTCTTTACTCAGTCTATTGAATCAAATGATAATCTCTTCTAGAGAATCCCTCACAGACACACTCAGAAAGAAAGTTTCACTAGCTATCTGGGCATCCCTTAGCCCGGTCAAGTTGACATATAAAGTTACCCATCACAGAGTGGTAGTAACAGTT